TCCTTTTCTCAGTTACTCAAAATGTTTTTCATATATATACCCGGTGTGTTTTGGAGCAAGTGATGAACTAGGACTCTGGAGAACAGGGTTGAGATCACCACTTGGCCATGGAAACTCACTGCGGGAGTGGAACTGGTAAAACCGCTCCTTAAATAACCCGCTTACATTGAAAGTCATATTTAGGAACACTATAACTTGGTTCCAATAACTTGACTGCAAATAACTAACTACACACACACACACTCATACATATGGAGATATATACATAGAGTTATATATAATGAGATACACCAATTCTAAAAATTTTACTAACTCAGTGTTACAGAAGTGGTAGCTCTAATCACAATAACGTGGAAGTGCTATTCACAAAATACTTTCAAAGGTGCCTTGTGCAGTGGTCGCAAAGGAAACGGCAGATCCTTGTTGCCCTGCTATAATACCAATTTGCACAGATATAACTTTACTTTCTGTAAGGATAAACAGAATTCCATCCAGTGGAACATACATTTCTGGTTATTTTCCTGTCTATCCATCTCTGCCTGTCATTTACCACTTATAAAACCCTATATGGTTTGGGTCCAGACTATCTGAAGGACTATCTTCCTGTATGAGCCTTTGTGGGGTATAAGATCTGCAGAGGATACCCTTTTCTCTGTCCCATTGCCATCACAGGCATTTTTGATGGGGACATGAGAGAAGGCCTTTTCTATGGCTACTTTCAATGCTCTCTCTCTTGGAAAGCTAGGTTAGCCCCCTTCCTTTTATTCTTCCATCAATAGTTGGACCCACCTCTTCAAGTTGACTTTTAACAACTATGGCTGAGTCCCTGGTTGCTAGTCTTTGCTTTTCTAAGTTACTTTTACAGTTTTTAAATGTTTTCATATACTTAATGAATTTTAATCATTCCAGTTTAGTTGCTTTTTAATTAGTAATTTATTGAGTTTTCAGCATTACTTTTTTACTCATAATACTGTATTGTGAGTTTGGAGAAAGGTGACATTTTAATTAAGTAATCTTGTCACCATACTAATATAGGGTCCAGTCTGAAGACTGTCACTACCATACATGTGAATTACAGTGATTTTCTTGGAGCTATAAACGAAGAAGGTGCCTATCATCATGCTATCAGTATCTCCTACCTGTACAGGTGATCATATGAGACAGTACCAATCATCTTTCGAGGTGAGGACTTAGGTTAAGAGATGCAGCATAGAGTTGAGAGACCTTATACTCTTACCATGCTCCTCCTGCATGTTTATATCCAGTAAAGCAATCCACAAATGGATTGGCTTTTTCTGCTGCAGCAGCAATTTTATGGGATTCCTGGCACCAAGAACTCCATGTATCTTCCAGCACACTTTCTTGGTATTTCACTGATGTTGGAAGACTTGCTGGGGCTCGTTAGCCAGCCATTACATTCCATTGTGGGTGAAAGGTATAGTTAGAAATGTTGAAGTAAATAAAATAAACACAAGTATAGACCACGGTATCCTCCTGGGGTGGCTCTCCAAATATGGAATTGGGGGCCTTGCTTTGGCATGGATCCGTTCCTTCTTGGAGGACTATCCCCAGAGAGTGCAGCTTGGTGGGATGACTTCCACCCCGTGGATCCTCAGTTGTGGGGTTCCACAGGGGTCGATCATCTCACCAATACTATTTAATATCTATATGAGGCCACTGGCTGATGACACCCAGCTTCACCTCTCCTTTTTTCCTACTGCAGTGGATGCTGTTCCGACCCTTGAACACTGCTTGGGGATGAGGGCAAATGGACTGAGGTTGAATCTGGACAAGATGGAAACCTTGCATGTGGGCAGCCCCGGGGTCAGTGGGTTGGGAAACTCTCTCTCCTTTGGGGGAGTGACTCTTCCCATGAAGAGTGAGGTTCGCAGCTTGGGCATCTGCCTGGACCCGGATCTCACCATCGAAATCCAGGTGCCTTCTGTGGTTCAGGCAGCCCATTTCCATCTTTGGAGGATTGCCCAGCTGCATCCCTATCTAGACATGGGGGCACTCATGATGCTGATTCATGCCTCATAATCTCAAGAATAGACTACTGCAGTGTTCTCTACATGGGGCTACCTTTGAGGCTGATGTGGAGACTTCAACTGGTCAAGAATTCGGTGGCCAGATTAACAACTGCGGTGAAGAAATTCCAGCACATCTCCCCCACTCTGGTTGCCCTTCATTGGCGACTGGTTCATTTCCTCATCGACTTCAAGGTTATGATGATAACATTCAAAGTCCTAAATGGTTTAGGACCTTGGTACCTATCAGAACACCTGCTCCCAGCCAGATCTGTCCATAATACCCATTCTTCACATGCAGGATGGTTGAGGGCCTTGGTCCTGAAGGTGGCCCGGAGGGAAAGAACAAGAAACCGGGCCTTCTTGGTGGTTGAGATCTGCCTGGCATCCTCGCTGGATGGGTTCAAAAGAGCATTGAAGACCTGGCTCTTTGAGCAGACTTTCCGGAGTATTAAGATCTTGGCCTCCCTTTTACCATCCTTTCTGCCATCCTCTCCATCACCCTTTTTACCACCTTCATTGCCACCTGTTTTAATTTACACTATTTGGTTATGTATTAATTTAATTTTTACCAACTACTGTACAATTGCACTCATTTCACATGCTAGCAAGGTTATGTTCAAAATCCTCCAAGGCTTGAGTAGTATGTGGACTGAGAACTCCCAGAAATACAAGCTGGATTTCGAAGGGGCAGAAGAACTAGAGATCAAATTGCTAACATGCACTGGATTGTGGAAAAAGCCAGAGAGTTCCAGAAAAACATCTACTTCTGCTTCATTGACTACGAAAAATTTGACTGTGTGGACAACAGCAAATTATGGCAAGTTCTTAAAGAAATTGGAGTGCCTGACCACATTATCTATCTCCTGAGAAACCTACATGTGGGACAGGAAGCAACAGTTAGAACTGGATATGGAACAACTGATTGGTTCAAAATTGGGAAAGGAATACGACAAGGCTGTATGTTGTCCCCCTGCTTTTTTTAACGTATATGCAGAATACATCATGTGAAAGGCAGGACTGGATGAATCTCAAGCTGGAATTAAGATTCCCGGAAGAAATATCAACAACCTCCAATATGCAGATGATACCACTCTGATGGCAGAAAGTGAGGAGGAATTAAAGACCCTCTTAATGAGGGTGAAAGAGGAGAGTGCAAAAAACAGTCTGAATGTCAACATTCAAAAAAAAGATCATGGCCACCGGTCCCATCACCTCCTGGCAAATAGAAGGGGAAGATATGGAGGCAGTGACAGATTTTACTTTCTTGGGCTCCATGATCACTGCAGATGGTGACAGCAGCCACAAAATTAAAATACGCCTGCTTCTTAGGAGGAAAGCGATGACAAACTTAGAGAGCATCTTAAAAAGCAGAGGCATCACCTTGCCAACAAAAGTCTGCATAATCAAACCTATGGTTTTTCCAGTAGCGATGTATGGAAGTGAGAGCTGGACCATAAAGAAAACTGACCACCGAAGAATTGATGCTTTTGAATTGTGGTGTTGGAGGAGGTTCTTGAGAGTCCCCTGGACTGCAAGGAGACCAAACCTATCCATTCTAAAGGAAACCAACCCTGAGTGCTCTCTGGAAGGACAGATCCTGAAGGTGAGGCTCCAATACTTTGATCATCTCATGAGAAGAGTAGACTCCCCAGAAAAGACCCTGATGTTGGGAAAGTGTGAAGGCAAGAGGAGAAGGGAACGACAGAGGATGAGATGGTTGGGCAGTGTCATTGAAGCTACCAACATGAATTTGACTCAACTCCGGGAGGCAGCGGAAGACAGGAGGGCCTGGCGTGCTCTGGTCCATGGGGTCATGAAGAGTCGGACACAACTAAACGACTACAGAACAACAACAACAATATTCTTGCTGATATTGTTGTTAGCTGCCCAGAGTGGCCTGGCTGCCAGATGGCATGGGATATAAATTCAATAAATAAATAAATACATAAATAAATTATTAATATGCAAGATTTGTGGTATGTGTGACATGGTACCTGTAATTCCTATATGTGTGAGTATGCATAGTGAGTGTGTATGTGGATATATTATCATTGCAGTTATCATTATTATTATTTATTATTTATCACTCATCCATTTTTCCCCTGAATATCTTGAAGTCTTCATGTACATAATTTTAGCCTTGGACATTTTCTCTCACAAAAGAAAATGCATGTATAGTGTTAGAATATGCTTCCTTCTAATTTTAGTGTACAAACAGATTTTATAGCAGTGTGCAAATGAAGAATGCAGTATAACCATCTGGATATGTTTTATTTTTCATCCTTGTTTCTTTAAAAAAACAACAATAATCTTTCAGTAATGCAACCCTTGCCCCACATAAATTGTTTGAAAACATGTTGGCCAAGGTGGAGATCAGTCCCAATCCAAGATTGTCTTGTTTCCTCAAAATTTCCCCTCATGAGTTATACTTCAGATCCTAAAGTTAAAGGAGGGTCACCACTTTTAGAAAAGTCTCCCCAGTATGCTCCATCGTTCATAAAACAAAGGTATTAGTGACACATGTATTTTGTTTAACCATGCTACATTTACTTCTTAATTAGTGAATATTCATCCGTTATCAGTGGCAGCGATGATACCCCTCCCTGCTAACACATTCTGTCATAAATAATCAATGAGGCTGTATTAATATTCATGAGGTGGAATCTGTGTAGTCATGTGCACTGATGCAGAGACAGGGGGAGTGTTGCTGCGAACTGAGATGAAACTCTGTGTATGTCTGTGTGGATGCATGAGTGTAAGACACTTAGGGAAGAGGAAGAAGAGCATGCTGCTTTGCACAGACTCCCCTGGCTTGTGCTTCCAGCGAACAGTGTGGCATGTCTGTGTTCCTGCACCGGAGTGACTGATGACAAACAGTAGTCAAGTCTGGAGGGTTCTTCCTGGTCTGTGCATTTGCGTCTCAGTTCTTGGGATATTAGAAGCATTGCTCTATCATCATTTCTTCTTAGAATGGGTTGCAATCTGTGCAGTTTTCAGAAGAGGGAGGAACACTACAAACTGCTGTATGAAGTTTCTCAGGTGAGTGCAGAAGCTGTTGCTAGTGCCAGCAGCTCTCTGAGAGAGAGGGGGGGGGATTTGGTCTGTCTGTGTGGTTCTTGGTGTGTGAGTGTACATGCCTGCTTCCATGTTTTGGGTTGGTTCCTGATTTTCAGGTTTCTCACCACGCCTGCTGAAATTGACTTCCTCTGGTTTTCTTTTCAAAATGCTGTGCCTCTTTGACAGATTTCCAGTCAGACACCTGCATTACCATTGAACCTTATCCATAATGCGCACAGAGAGTCTTTAGCTTTGGTAAGTGAATCCTCTGCCAGTTACACTGATGATGCTTTTGCAGCTGTTAGGAATTTAACAGGTCTTTGGTTTCAGGTATTGTCAACTTGCTGAATCAAGTTTATGGCTTAGCATGAGCTAGCTAGGTTATAGGGATGCCTGGTGTTTTAAATTAAAAACCATAGTGATTTGAACTGTTTTTCTTTCTCTCGTGTAGAATAGAGATAAATTTGCCTGTTTCCAATGACTTGTGCTTTTATCATCTGTTCCGCTATCTCTGGAGCTGCTTCCCTGTCATTTGGCAGAGAGCGTAATTTATACAGTACTTATTGAAGTGTGTGTGTCCCAGCGGCAGGAATGTTCCTGTAAACCTGCTAACTTGTGCTGGCTGTGTAATCATCCTAAGAGGGAAAGGGAGAAAGACAGTTAGTGCAATATCCTATAATTTTATACAAGTGGAATAGCATCTGTATTTGATTTGGATGGATTTTGTTCTGACAAGGCTTTTGCTGGGGGAATCTGGCAGATGAAAGTTTAGTGCCTGTCAGCATCTGTTCCCTTCTTCTTTGTAATTTGTCCTTGCTTTGACATGTCGTTGTTGACAGAAGCTGAAGGCTTCCAGTTTTTGACTGCCCTGTTGATGACGGGCTAAGGACTTGAGGACAAAACAGCTTCGAATGTTGGTGGTCTGTTGGCACAGCAGTAGCTAAATGCCCATTGCCTAGTGTGTCTCCCCAACTCTCACCCCCCCCGCAACAAATTCTTCTTGACATGATTCATTTCACAGTGGACTAATTACAAAGTGGATTCTTTGCACATGAAACATCCTCCTCAGTTGCAGTGTTAATGCACATTTTCATGGTAATGTGATCAGAGCCTCATTAGCCAGTTTCCAAAACGATCCTCTGCATTAATTAAATATAAAAATGACTCTTTTTATCACCATGGAGGTGGGGGGGAGAAGATAAGCATTGTCATTTATGGCTCGGGACAATATCTCCACTTCTTAAAGGGAAGAAATAAAGAAGGGGGACCCCCCACAATAGCAAGTACTTCCACAGTCTTAAAAATAACATTCAGAGGCAGATAACCTATCAGTTGTATTTGGATCCAGAAAATGAACTCTAGGTGGAACACTTTCCTGCATTTTAAAAGTAATTCCATCATAACATTTTTCCCTGAGAGCAGCAATATGGGGAGTAGAAAAGTAGCACTTCTTTTCTTCTCTTATCCCACTCCTTTCAGACTCTGTCTAGCCAAAGAGACCTAAAAATACAAAATCTAAATACCTCAGTAGATTATGGTGCTGCACATCAAAGGAGCTAGGCTGTGTTATAAGAAAACAGATCAAATATTTCTCTGAATTTCATAAGGAATATATAACTACACTGGTGCTAGGGAATATATTAAGTACCTTTTCTAAAATTTGCTTGAAGTGACATTAAATACTAAAGCTATTTTTCAGCGTGCAAAAGTCGCTGCCTTTTGTTGGGGGATTCCTGAGTTATTTATCCTTTTATTTGTTTCCTTCTCTGCCGGCTTTCATGATAAAGAAACAACAGAGAAGGGAAATGAATTACCACTTTCACTTTAACCCTGGTATTTCCCTGATAAGGCATAATCCGTAGAAGAATCTGAGCGAGTCTTCCCGGAGAGCAATGGGCAATCAAACCAGCAGCTTTTGCCCTATGGATTGTATAGGAAATGTCACTGATAAGGGCATTTAAAGAGAACAATAATTTACCACATTGTATTATTTACAGAGTAGATCTTTTCTGTTTTTGTTCCAGTATTTCTGCATTGTTTGTAATCACATGCTAGCATGAAAATAATGTATACAAGTGTTCTTGAGATGCAACTGATGACACAAAGGAGTCATCCAGTTTCCAATGTCTCTAAGATACCAGTTTGAGCTGGCCATTAATGGTCAAGAAAATAGTTCTTCAGGAGTTCGTCAGTGTGGTATTCACGTTGGAAAACAAACATAGGTGTAGATGAAATCCGTAGAGTCAAGTGAGGTGCTCCTTGTGGGAGTGGATGGTAGTGAAGCACTGTGGATTTGGAAGCCATCTGTAGAAAGTTTAGAAAGTCATTGGGGTTTGAACCTTAAACACTTAGCTCTGCAGTGAACTACAAGTTGCAGTCATTTTCTTTGTAACTGAATTTTCACATCATTTTGTGCATAAAAGCCTGGCTTTCCTTGTGCATGTAGATTTGGACAGAGACTGTAAGATGCGGTTTGCGTCTGACTCTAGTATCTGGGTTTAGATTACTCACTTTCTCCTTTTTTATATATACCTGTGAAATGGAATTAACTGTGATGTTTCTCAAATTTAGTGTGGAAACAAAGAATAACCATTGTAACATACAATAGTTTGTACAGTACTTAAAAGTACTACATATGAGATGGCTCCATGAACATTGTGGTTGTAGCGGTTAGAATTAGCACTAGGTCAAATTCTCACATGAACATTTATTTTTTTATTTAAAAGGAGGTTCTTGAGGGGTAGAAAGAAAGCTTATAGAGAAAACTCCTGTTGTGTTACTTTTGTTAAGTAGTAGTAGTTGTTTTTGTCATTGCTGCTGCTGCTTGCTCTGTATCTTTCCATGGATTTCATATGTTGCTCCTCAAGGTCCTTTTTTCTAATTAATTCAATACTACAACATTCATGGAACATTCATGGAACATGAATGTGATTGAAGTGTCACATGGCCAGTTAGATTTGAATGACATTACAAAATGGATCTGGATGGCAAATGTTTTTTTGTGGCTCCTTCTTCAATGTTTCCTGTCTTAGAAACCTGGAAATGTTCCTGCTGTGCTGTTAGTTTCAATGTGTGCCAAAGTGGTCTTTAAGCCTTACTTAAGTTGAGATCTAGTCATGATGCACAGTTGTGCACACCTATTTGGAGCAGGATGTCAGTGGAGATGCATATTAGGTACCCATTCAGATATGCATATCTTGGGAAATACCAAGCTAATATTTTTTTAAAAAGATTCATATGATTGTATGTTTGGAAAAATTAGAAAGACTTGTCATTATGTGCCAGTAATCAGATGCCATGCAGTTTCAATTGCTTGGTTTTGTGACCCTACCTTATATTTCATTTTACTGTACAGTCCTATGTTGTTTTTGTATTGCATTATTTTCTTTTTTTTAAATTGTGGGCAACCCATTTGACATACAAATATTGTAAGTAATAATTATAATTGTCATTAACGACATCATTGTCAGAACAAAAGGGGGGGGAGTCAATGAGAAACTGATAAAGGTATCCATTTGCAATTGCTGTAACAGCTGCAAATGACTTTCAGTTCCCCTCACTTTCATTAGGAAGATAATCTGAATCTGAATCTGAACACACACACAGACAGACAGACAGACACACACACACACACACACACACACACTGCTCACATTCTACTTCAAGTGGTCCACTGAGCCTGATTGACCAGGAAAAGTCAATGTAATCTGGCTGTTAGGGTAATTTTTCCACTTCACAGCATCTTTTCCTTCTAAACATATTGGTATCCTTTTACAAAGGGGTGTGAAAATACACTCCTTTGAGGCAGTTTTCAAAGCAGAGTTTCCCAAATCTTATTTCTGATGCCACTAGTTTTGTAGATCCTTGACAAGACTGCCAGTCTAAGCTGTGCAGTTGAAGGACATCATCTATGGTTCCTTACTAGCTTGAATAATGACTAAGTCAATAACGATGTTATTGACAGCTTACCAGATCCTGCTGTGTCTCTGAAGAAAAAAAGAAGAAGCTAGTGCTGGCACTCTTGGCTGCTGCCAGAGAAGTGGCAGCAGCAACACACATCTCACCACTTTGAGAAGAAGGAAATGTATAGAATTGGCTGCTTCACTCATGCTTGGCTCCGGTCGCAACTTCAGAGCATGGCATGATGGGAACTCACCTCACTCTGAACACATCTTGGCTCTGAGAATGCTCAGTATCAGACATCATTGAAGTAGCTGGCTCTCTGCAGGAATGGTTTCTGGAACTAGCAGGAGGTGTCCTGGAGTATGGTCTTGCCAGGACGACCAGCTTCTTCTTTGTTGTTACCATCCCCACTTCCTTTCCTTCTATTCCCCTCCCCTGTACATCCTGTTCTTTCAACATATATTTTTCATTAGGAGAGTGTAGACAGTATTCCTGATGCCCTTGCCTTTACATTTGTGTAACAGAAGAATTAGCTGCAGTAAAAACAGAAGAGACATGTGGCATGCTATGGACTAGGGCATACGCTTTGTTTTTGTTTTTTTTAAAAAAACCTGTACCCCACTTTTACAGATGCATGGAGTATAGTCTTGTCAGTCAGACAGTAATACACATATAGTGAGGTGGATGAGGAATGTGAACTGTAGTAGAAATGGATCAGCCCTTGCCCCTTGTCACAACACCAGGAGTAGCTAAACCCAAGAGGAAGGCCACATAAGCTCTCCCAAATATCACTGGAAATGTTCAGAAATCCACTTCTGGTTTGGTAAAACTCATCCTGGGCTGTCTGGAAGAAGCAGAAGAGTGCAGGTGGGCCTGTGTCTTATATTAGGGCAAAACAATCACTCCTGGAGTACTCCAGAAACAAAAAAATGGCATTTCTTCATATTGGGGGGGGGGAGGAGGGGTGCATGGTGGTCCAGAGGCTGCAAAAAACAAACAAACAAAAAAGCAAAAAACACCCACTTGAAGCCCATGCAGCATGGATTCCTACCCCTGCATTACCATGTTGTGAACGTGGG